TCCGCACGGCGCTTTGCAGGAAGGGCTGAAGAGATGATGCGGCCATAAGCTGGTCATTGACTTTGTCTGAGAGGGGAGACTTGAATAGAAATAAGGGGAGGTTGAAGCATTGGGGAACTCCTGTCCTTGGGACCCCCCCCCAGCCAGGAAGGCTGCTGGGCAGAACCAGCATCGTATGGGGTCTCGAGAGGGTAGAAGGTTCTCAGAAATGGAGTGAGTGCTCTGGTGAGTGGACGAGGCTAAGGCTGGAGGGGAGGTAGGTGGATTTAAAGTAGAAGCGTGTGTGTGTGTGTATGTTGTGTGTGCGCGTGTGCGCGCGTGTGTCTGCGTGGTCTGTGTCGTATGTGTGGAGTGTTACCTACGGTGACAGTCCCTCCTCTCCTCCCCACAACCCCCTCCATTCCAGTGCTGCTGGCCAGTTCTTCCCGGAGGCAGCGCAGGTGGCCTATCAGATGTGGGAGCTTAGTGCAGTGGCCCGAGTAGAGGTCAGACCCTCCCCACCTCCTGCTTGACCTCTTGACCACAAAGCTTCCACTCTTCTGCTCACACTTCCTGCTGTTCTGGTTGGCGCTCAGCTGTCCCCTGGTGGCCAAGCCGAGAGAGACGGTTTTCACATCTGAAGCTTCCTTTTCTCCTTGGAGTGATGAATTCGTGGGCGGGCACTCTGGTGTGGGCATCTGCTTCCTGCATTAACTTCTAACACGCTGGGAAGTGTTCTGGTCCACTCACTACTAACAGGGCTTGCCGAATGGTGACCTGGCTGGATTCATGGAGGAGGCTATCCCATCCCGGGCCTAACAGTTGGGCTTAGGAGGCATGAAAGCTGAGAACAGATGGGTACCCCTGGGTGCACAGGAGGATTCAAGATTGTCTTGACCATCCTTGGACCCAGGCTCCATAAAGAATGAGAACGAAAGTTTTCACAGAAGTGCTTGGGGCAAATCATTCCAGAGATTGGTAGCACTTGGTCCACAGAAAAATATTTGGAGCCATGGACTCTCTGTTACTCACTTGCTGTGCCGCCTTAGGCAGGTCTCCACCTCTCTCTGAGCCTCTGTCTTTAAGATGAGGGCGTTAGACATGGCAGTCTCCTTGTGCCCTGAAAGGGCTCTTGAGCTCTGATGTTCCAGGACAGCATTCCCCAAATTAGAAGGCAAGAACTGTCATTGCAGATGATCTGAAGTTATCTGAGAAATTTAGTTTGGAGGAGGGGGACCGCATGGCATTAAGTAACCTTGAACCTCACATGGTGGGAAAGCGACTCCTTTTCAATTTCTTCCATCCTCCTGAGTATGTTAAAGACATGGTCTCGGTTTAGTGCCACGTCTCTGCCACACTCGTTGATTTTCCTTTTTCGTAATGAGAGAGCCGAGAGAGCCAGCTTCAAGTTCAGAGATTTTGCTTTTGGCAAAAATGGCATCTCGGTTAAATGTGGTGATCTGTGTTTCACTACATGTTTTTTGTTTGTATTACATTTATTTTCATGGGTTATTGTTGTCTGTTTATGGGACATGATGCCAACCTTCTATTCATGATAGTGATATAAAATTATTCTCACTCATTAATTTAACAAATACATTTTGAGTCGTTTACTCTGTCAGGCACTGTTTTAGGATATATCAAGAAATAGAATGGATAAAAAAAACCTTGCTTCAAATGTACTTCAAAATGAATGCATTTAAGTAAAGCAGAAAAGCTGAGTTAAATAAAAATATTAAGAAATAGCATAGGGCGAATGCAAATATGGAAAACATTGTAAAGGAGTGTCTGAAATTTGGGAGACTCCGTTCTGGTATTCCAGATCATTTCTGTTGCCTTTTCTGGGGGAATGTCTGTCTAAGAGGCAGAAGCGCCTTGGAGACGGCAAGATTCTGAGGGACTGAGGAGGCCACAGTGGAGCTAGGACAGAGCTGACTCCTGGGGCAGGAGCCTGGCCACTTTTTTCCAGGACCGGCACTTGTCCTGCTGCCTGGCTTGGGTCTGTCTCTCTCCCTCTCTCAGCTCTAGGGCAAGGGTCTGTCTGCTGTGCCTTCACCCCGCCTCTTTCCCCCACGCTGCTCGGTTTGGGGCTCGTGGGGAAAGCCTCCCCTCCCTTGCATGCTCCTCTCTTGGCCTGGGCCCCCCCCGGGGGAGGGGCCTCCAGATACCTGCTTAGTCTCTTTCTGCTTTTTGCAGCTGAAGGGAACTGTGCGTCCAGCCAATGACTTCAACCCTGATGCAGATGCCAAAGCGCTGAGGAAAGACATGAAGGGACTTGGGAAGG